CATAGAGACACTTCATAAGTGTATTTCATAAGTGTTGAGACTTTAATTACAAGATGATTCAGCTTTCCTTTAGATGCCAATTCAGGATATAAAATATTGATTGACAATCTCAAGTACAAGTATATCTAAAGTCAGAGTGTTGAGACAGCTGAAAGACTGAATGTTACTTTCAATGAGGTTAACTTATTTTCTATGTGGGCTCACATGTTCTTGAAATAAAGGTCTTAATATATTACAAATTCCTGATCAATTCTAGGACCTCTTCTTTCAAACTCTTACTACATGTAGTGTAGTAAGAGCATGTACGGAATTGTTTATGTCAAATACAAATGAATTGGGTTTGACATGAGTGAAAATGCTTTTTTTGAATGTTATAAGCAGGTATTGGGCACCAGCACGCAAAGTTCGGATGAATAGTTGTTTCATATCATGAAACTTGCTGCAGTCTTTGATGAGAAGCGCTTTTCAAAGCAACGCCCGGCCTCATCTGTCTGGAGTCCCGGCTGGCTGTTGGCGAGTCATGTGGGAGTTGTGTAGCGTTGACTGGTGGGCCAGCGTTTGTGGGCAGATGCGTATAGATTTAGAGTCAGACATTGTGCTGATTCCCCAAATGGCGTCACTGGTCGATACATCGAGAGAGCTGCTGCTGCCGCCTCTGCCAATAGCTTTATTGACTTTCAGTCTGCACTTGAGCAATCTTTTTCTGTACATGACACATCTGCAGGACCTCCGCTGCATAATTATAAGGGACTGAAAACACAAACATTTGACTGCGGGTCGGGGGAGTGAGAGGTTCAGTGTGAGCACTCTTTGGTTTAATATTAATCTGTATTGGGTTGGGATAAAAGTTAGTTTCTGTCACATAGTCTCCGCTTACTAACAAAATTTGGTTTCCGATTGTTGAGTTTAAAGACGTCTGTTCATCAGCTTCCTGATGAGATTCACCTGAGGCCCTGGTTGGAGGGCCGTCTGCACACACCCGGCTGAACCTGCTGATGTGAAAATAGGCTTAAAATGGCTCCCCACCTCACTCTAATTAATCATAGGGTATGTGTGTCTCTGTAAACCTCCTGCCTTTTGAAGGAGAAAATCCTTCTTCTGAAGATGCACATCTGGAAAGAACTGGAGCGCCCCAGATGCTGCCGAGTGACAAGATGATTTGTCTTTATATCAGATACTGGGACAGAGGTTGTCGTTTCCATGTAGACTCATCTTTTTAACAAACATCTTAATCTTTTGAGAAAGATTGAAAACAAATACTGTACATAGATGAATGAAGTAAGGTCAAGTTTTCCAAAAAAACTGTAGTGTTTCCGTTTTTAAAAATGAAAGATTAAAGATTAATTTAACGATTTATTCATTAGAAAACTACAACAATTCCTACAACCAAAAATCTGACGTAAGCTTGTCTTAGATTAGCTTGTTGATGGGGAATTTTCCTGGAAGAGTAAAAACGATTCAAACAACAAGACTATTTCAATGTATCCATTTATCCAACTGTGTTCGATCGATCGACAGAAAAAACCCCTACAGACTGATTTAGTCCACTCCTTAAGCAGCAGCCTGAATATCGCACTGCTATCACAGGTGAATGCAACACTGGCCACTTTGGGATATGGGCCTGATTCCCAGGCAGTGTAGGGGAGGGAAATTTCAGGCAATCTTGTGCTGCAACATTGCTGCCTGATTGAAGTCTATTGATCGTCATCAGTGGTGTTTTTTTTCCTCTGGACCGTCTGAAATGGGAGATTTCACGAAACTATAATTATCTCAAGCACAAGCCATAACAGGGACTTCGGCGTGTCGATAGCAGCATTAGAGTTAACGTGCGCAGCTCGACACCGTCGGAATAACGATACAACCCTGCATTTAGCGCAGGACGGCGCCTTTGGGTGCTGACAACACACGTGTGTTTGGGCTGCTGAAGCCCTGCAGGGCTGAGCAGATAACATCTCATCAGAGCTCACAGGATGATGTTCTAGCGCAAAAATCCCCCCAGTCTGCCATCACATGTCCCCCAAAGATTTGCTATCAGGGCTACAAGCCCACTTCTTTAACCCTAAAAAAAAAAAGAAAAAAGAAGAGGCCAGCTAGAGGAATTTGTAACGAGCATCAATTTGCAAAATGATGCTCTTTCCTTCTGGATGTTCTTCATTTCTTTCTTGGTGACACTGAGGTTGAAACCATGTCATCTTTAGAACCGAGCGCCGCTCACACCTTCACAAATGGAGGTTGACACGAGCGTCTGGGTTCAGGCTTTTCCAGCTGTGAAAGCCTGTGGAATCACTCCACCATGAAAGAGGCACCTAAAAGCTTTTTACTTAGTTTCACGTGTGATTCTACAACATTCATGAACAAAAGTTGGATAACACCAATACGAATCTGCGGTGACTGCATCACATCACAGCGTAGTGTCACATCCAGTCCTTTCTGGAATACATTCATATTCATAATTCAATTTTCTTTGACTGCAAGATAAGTTTTTTTTTCTCCTCATTCAAATGTGATTTATCCTGTTTGGAGGATTATATCAGAGTCTTAAACATTCTACCTACTGAGCTGAGCTTAAAATGGATCAGAATCATGTTTCTTTTGTTTTTCTTGCCCAGTGGAAACAAAATGCTCAAGAGTGGCTAAGCAAGTGTGTGCGTGTGTGTGTGTGTGTTTGTGTGTGTGTGTGCATGACACATGCATGCAAACAGGAGGTGCAGCCGGGAACCAGCCTCATACCGTATATGCTAGCACGAATCATGGGGGGACTTCAACACCCTACACACACATCCAACACCCCACTAATTAGTGTGAATGACTGATGTGGCCTTTCTTCAGCCACACGACCGGTCGCCCCCGGCCTGCGTTCGCCTTTGGCGTAGCAGGGACCCGCACACACAGTCAGCTGCTTATGCTTTAGCTCAAACACCAGCTTTGATCCTCCACCGCTGGAGCCTACAGCGCTTTGAAGGTAGTCAAACTAAATGTTCATTAAAACACAACCACATTTCTTGAAGTTAAAGAATAGGATTTTTTCTTTCTCTGGATGGAGAACAGAGATAAAGATGTGTTCAAGAAGATAGAAATGAAGAGACAAACCTCTGTATCTACTTCTGTCAGTAAAAGTCTCAGGATAAAAGGGAAATACTCTTAAACAGGAACTCAAACCTTAAAAAAATCCATCCAAAAGTGAGAATAAGCGACAGTTTCTAGACTAGCACTTTGAAATGGATGAAAAAGGATCCTAAAAAATCATTTAGATGGCATGTAAACACATCCAGATAATACAGTAGGGGGGTCACATTTTTTTGCATAGTTCACGATAGAGATGTTCCGACCAATCAGAAAAGGCCAAATACCATCCGAGAGGGGACAAATATCGCTTTTGGTAACGTCCATTTTTCTACTTAAGGGCTGTGACATACTCTAAAAAAGGTGGCTTTGTGTATAGCTCTTAGAGGGTGTTTCATTGTGTTCATGAAGCCTATCTTTGCCTTGAAATTCCATCTTTAACGACCACGAGATGCAGATTCCGAGTTTTTGAAGGTACAAGAAGGTACTTTTTGCATTCCTTACACTGGATAACTACACAAAACAAACTGGGAAAAAAATCATGAATCACGACCAAACCTTTAAAAGGGGGGGTAGGGGGTGGGGGGGTTATATCCTTAATATGAATAGACTTTATTCCCTCCCCCTTTGGCCAGCTGGAGCTTTAACTTTAGGTTAAAAAAATCTCTGCTCTGCTCTGCACAGGCTGAGAGACAGTCTGATAAAACACACACAGAACGCACCGCCCGGCAGCATTAGAAACAGAGAAACAGACAAACGAGCCAACAGGTGAGCAGAGAGGAGCCATAACCGCTGGACAGGCCATAATGGGACTGCTGTTCAGCCAGATATAGGTAGGGATGATGGTTTTCTTATTGCTTTGCTGGAAACAGCTGACTAGACTGTTTTGGTCTCTTACAAGGTTTTGTTTCCCCCTGGACAAATTAAATAAAGTCAGAGAGGGAGAGATCATGTTTAACCTGGCATCCCAATGTCTCTCATGCTTTCAGTTCCAACCAAGCACTGCAGAAGGGGGGAGGGGGGGGGGGGGACAATGACTCTCGCCCCCCATCACACACACGCACACACCCAATCGCAATCCCAGAGTCCCCGTACAGCTGATGCAATCATCTCACACGTAGAGTAAAATCCAGATCCACGGGAGGTGAGAACATCCTCACACTTCCACTTTGCTCCGTTTGCCTCCTTTTCAAACGTATCGTAGTTGTGAAGGAATTTCATGGACGGAGAGGAGGAAAGGGGGACCAACGTCACGCACACATGCGCATATAGGGAGCCACACTGACGCATCGTTTGTTGTGTAGTCAACTGCTTTTTCTCTCCTTTTTGCAGCCGGACTGAGGCGAGCCTACAGCGGATAATTGTTTTACCGCATTCAACAGTGTTTTCAGAGCCGGGGGAGAGGCCGGAGCCGCGGGGGCTCACAGCAAAGTACCGCGCTTCCCCTCAGAGCACCGAGAGGGGGGATTTAAGTCACTGAACTGAGCTATCACGATCCTCATACATTTCACAGCGGACTTGTGCTTCTTTTTTTTTCCCTATCGAACAACGTCGAAGTGGACGGCTGAACAATGAAGAGGCAAGATTCGAATAAAGAGTCTCTTCGTTGGCTGAAATATGTTTTTGCACCCCTGGAGGGAGAAAACTTCAACATTGCGAGCTGCGAAGAGTGATTTTTTCCCCTCTGCTCCCTGTTCTCAGCATTCCCTCAGTCAGCCGGCGGATCTTTGCCATTACAGCTCAGCAGAGGGTGTCAGATCTTTCTCAGAGCAGCGCGCGAGGATGAACACCGTCTCCGCGTTCCTCTTGTTGTGATTCCCGAATTGCCAAAAGAACAAGAGAGAAGGAGTAAAAAAAAAAAAAAAGAGGGAGGAGGGGAAGAAGAAGAAGAAGAAGGGGCAAACGAGTGAGGCGCGCGCGGAGGATGTGAGGGAGGGATGCGGGCGCTGCGCAGCGGAGGGATCGCCTCTGAAGCCCCGGACGCGGGCTGGGAATTCAGCACCCAGGGCGCGCGGACAGCTCCCCACGCCGCAGCGCGCGGCAGCACCGGGAGAGAGGGGGGAGGAAAGAGCCGCGGGTTGATTCAGCCTTCCTCGCCCTGCCAAGGTCAGTCCGAAACGAGCCGAAAAAGCTAAAAGATGTGCAGGACTGTGCTGCCCGTGACCGCTTTGCATTTTTATCACAAAAGCGCGGAAGATATGAGGATTCGGTCGACGTGAGAGAGACGTTTGTGCGCGATTATCCTCGAACTGCGAGTCTGGACGCTAGAGCAGGTTAGACGCAGCGTGGATGTGCTACAAAAGAGCGCCTTATCTCCCTGTTAAATGCCCACATATGCCGTTTTCTTCTCACTGATGCAGACGATCCCAGCACGTATGTCCTGAGACCGGGGATGAATTGCTCACGTTGAAAAATGCTGCTTTGGATTGTTCTCCTGAATGCGGCTCTTTGTGTTGCCAGTGGAAATGTTACAAGGGACGTTTGTAAGGAGCAAATCTGCTCCTGCAACGAGGTAGAGGGAGATCTGCACATAGACTGCGAAAAGAAGAGCTTCAACACTCTGCGGCACCTGACGGGTCCCAGCTCGCAGTTCTATCACCTGCTGTTGCACGGGAATTCTTTGTCCAGACTGTTTCCCAACGAGTTCGCCAACTTTTACAATGCCGTGAGCCTGCATCTGGAAAACAACGGCTTGCACGACATCGTGCCCGGCGCCTTTCTGGGACTGCAGCTGGTAAAGAGGCTGCACATCAATAACAATAAGATAAGATCCTTCAGGAAGAGTACGTTTCTGGGGTTAGACGACTTGGAATATCTCCAGGCTGATTTTAATCTATTGAGGGATATCGACCCCGCTGTTTTCAGGGACCTAAATAAACTTGAAGTGTTAATACTTAACGACAACCTCATCAGTGCGCTACCTATAAACGTGTTCCAACATGTGCCCATTACGCATCTCGACCTGAGGGGAAACCGAATCAAAACGTTGCCTTATGAAGGGATTCTGGAGCAAATACCGGGCATTGCCGAGGTTTTGCTGGAGGACAACCCGTGGGACTGTAACTGCGACCTGGTTTCCCTTAAGGAATGGCTGGAGAATATACCACACAACGCGCTCATCGGGAGGGTGATATGCGAGGCTCCCACCAGGCTCCAAGGCAACGACTTAAACGAGACGTCCGAAGCGGAGCTGTGTCCTTCACAGAGCGGCGGCGTGGACACCAGCCTGGTGGCCCCTCCCACTCAGGAGGAGGCCTCCCAGCCCCGGGGCCCTCGCCCCACGCCTTACAAGCCCAGCAGAGAGGCGGGGGGCGGCGGGGCGCCGACGCCGGGCAGCCACAACTCCAAGAGCCAATCCAAATCTCGTGAGAACTGGCAGCTGAAGACCAAGCCCACCCCGGGGGGGGCAGGTGTGAGCGGGGACGGCGAGCAGCTGCGCAACGTGACGTGCCCGCAGCCGTGCAGCTGCAGGCTGGTGGGCTCCAGGCGGGGGCTGGGGGTCAACTGCGAGGGCAAAAAGATCGAGAGCTTGTCTAACCTCAAACCGAAGCCCCTGGCCGCTCTGGAGCTCAACATGAGAGACAACAACATCCACGCCGTCAAAAAGAACCAGCTGCTGGGTTACTCCAGCCTCAACCTGCTGGACCTGGGGGGCAACAACATCAAGGTGATCGACAACAGCACCTTCCAAAACCAGAGCGAGCTCCGCTGGCTGTACATGGATAAGAACTACCTGGATACGCTGGTGGCAGAGATGTTCGTGGGCCTGGTGAACCTGGAATACCTCAGTTTGGAATACAACGACATCCAGCTGATCGTGGCGGGGGCGTTCAGCCCCATGCCAAACCTGAGGGTTCTGTTCCTCAACAACAACCTGCTCAAGTCTTTGCCCGCGGATGCTTTTCTGGGAATTTCTTTGTCCAAAATCAGCCTGCATAATAATTATTTCCCCTATCTCCCAGTCGCTGGCGTCTTAGACCAGCTCAACTCCATCATCATGATCGATTTGCACGGGAACCCGTGGGATTGCTCGTGCAACATCGTGCCCTTCAAGCAGTGGACGGAGAAACTCGGGGCCGACGTGATAGTGAGCGACCTAAAGTGCGAGTCACCCGAGAGGTTCTGGAAGCGAGATTTCCGTTACGTAAGGAACGACCTCATGTGCCCCAAACTGTACGAGCGCGTGCCCCCCACCTCCCAGTCCAAAAACAGCACTTTCACCCTGGACTCGGGCACGCGCTCGAACTCCTACTTGGAGCCCAACAGGGTGTCCATCTCGGTGCTGGTGCCCGGGCTGCTGCTGGTGTTCGTCACCTCCGCGTTCACCGTGGTGGGGATGCTGGTGTTTATTTTGCGGAATCGAAAGCGCTCGAAGCGGAGGGACGGGAACTCCTCGGCGTCGGAGATTAACTCCTTGCAGACGGTGTGCGACTCGTCTTACTGGCACAGCGGGCCTTATCACGCGGACGGGGGCGCGCACCGGGGCTTCGACTGCAGCACGCATCTCTCCACGACGAATGACGCGTAAGAGGGACTGTGAGGCAACAACCCCGGAGTACAAACGCCGTCAGAGACTGACAGAAGTGACTCAAACCTGCAAAGACAAACTTGTATGGCCCAACTAATTCAGTCTGCTGCTGCACAGGCCTCCCTACTCTGTATTATAAAGTACACGCCAAGCCCCCTCCTCCTCCTCCTCCTCCTCTTTGCCGCAATCGGACTACGGATCTGTGTGAGACAGGGAGGGGGGAAAAGGAGAGGGGAGAAGAAAAGGAGCGAGGGGATGGGGCGCGCGTTTGGCTGAGCGTGTGTGTGCGCGAGCGTGAGAGGAACCTGGGGGAATGGTGCACGAACGCATGAATGTAAATGTAAATACTCGGACTGATGTATCATAAAAATGCATGATGATATTCCGCATGGTTTCAAACACTCAAACACGACGACGAGGAACCATAACCACCATAACCAACAAAGAGGCCAACTCGACCCGTTCATGTTCTACCAATACTATATATAGATATTAAGAATTATATATGACTATTACAAAGTGCCATTTCTCTATTTTTTGTGAACCTGCAGTTAGGATTTGTATTTGTTGTTTTAAACTTGTTTGGAGAAGAGAAAGAAGGAGAAAAAACAACAACAGGAAGAGGACGACTATCTGAAGAGGGTGATGGAGGTGAAGCTATCCGTGCATGTTCTTTTCCATTTGTTATCATTTTTGATTGTCGATAAATATTGGGGTTATTTATACTAGGTGGCGCGGACTTGGTTCGCGCGGTCATCATCTCCTTGATGAATGTAAACCGTGTTCTTTTATGGTGTGCCAATTGTTGACTTTCAGATATCCCGACATGCAGATGAGCATGACCAGTTACCGTCACTCAGATGCTTCTGCGGCAAAGTTAATGTAGCTAAAAATAACAGTTCCGTGGTTTTGTGTGTCAATGAATATAGCCTGCTTTGGGTGAGAGGAAGAAAAAAAGAAAAAAAAGAAAAAATTTCATTTAAATGGGGGGTTTGTACCATCATATTTTTTCAACAACTGAGCAAAGAAGTGTTTTCGATTAATTGAGCTATATTTAATTCGATCTATGTAAACAGCGCAGGTAGACTGATATAGAATAGAATGCTTTTTTAAATGTCAGAAAAAAGGATTCCTCCAAAAAAAGCTTATGGCTATAATTCACTTTCATCCTATCGTGAGCTTTTGTAAAGCCATCTAATCTTGTCCAAATAAGAGAGCTGAAACTCACTGTATTTACAAAATATATGGCTTTATAGTTTTGAGGGGGGTGAGGGGGGGGGGGCATCTATTCAGTTCACACATAGAAAGAGGTGATGAGTTAATGCAAGATGCCTTTTTCAACTCAGCATTTTAGAACTAGAGACAGTTCTCTTGTGGGTCCATGGTATTTTTTACATTTTTTTATGGGCTGATGAAAACAAGGCCGTGACTGTGTGGCTGTTCCTGCAGAGCTCAGCTGTGGGACGGAGAGGGGGAAGGGAGGAGAGCTGATCTGCTGCTTGGCCTGTACTGCTTCATTGAATCGTGGATTTGAGAAAATTAGGAATCAGAAGGTTGGGCGTACGACCAGTATCAAAGAATTTTTCACTCAGTGATGCGGGAAAGGTGCAATAAGCGGTGAGGGTGGAAGACTGCTGCCGACTGTATTCACTGTACCACAACACATTGTAAAATGTAGCAGTTTCACAGTGAAGGCTCAGAAGGTTTTAATTCTCACTTTCTAGCCTAAGAAGAACTTTAAAATCGTACATCTGTGTTCTAAATGCCATCCATGTTAAGAATAGTACATTAACTTCATAAAAAAAAAAATCAGGTCAACAGTTTTCTTTGTAAATGACTTAATTTGATGAAATATGCTCCTTTGCAAATTCTAACCAGCTTCTGCTTTACACAAATTAAACTGTCTTGGTTATGCGGTTAAAATATATAAGTCTCAATCTTTATAAAACATGAAATGCTTGAGTCCAGGCTTCAAACTGAAAGAAAATTGCTGTGTAATTAAGGAGACTTCATGCTTACATCTCAGATAGAAGAAGCAGCGGTGGCTTTTTAACAGACTGAAGGGAACTCATTTCAGCTCCCATTTGATTATGCGTGACACAAAAGTGAATGTGTGTTTTGTTAGATATTGTTCAAAGTATGGCTGCAGTTAGTGATTGGAAAAACTTGACCTGGCTTAAATAATTATTAATATATGATTCACATCACATTTACAGATTGCTTTGTGAAAACCAAACCATGAAAAGAGCCACCGTCCCACAACTTCTGCCTTTATTGTCAACACTGCTACATTTTGGACATGTGGATGTACTGCCAACCGTATGATTATCTAATCTTTTGATTTTGGTGTGGAATCCTAGAGCTGATGACCTGCTTTTTAACTGGTTTCCTGTACAAACCCTCCCCTCTTGGTGATGATGACTTTAAACACAATTCGAGCATGATTCGGCCTAAAACTACCTGATATGCCTCCGTTAGGGTGAGAGTGAAGGGACTTGATGTGAAATGAGCTTACTCCCCCTCGTGCCTCCCCCGTCCCCCCCCCCACTCACCCTCCTGCTACAGTATGCTGGCTGCGCTGTCCATGGTGCTGAATCACTCTTACCCCGACCTCCCTCCTCCCGCTTTGTGTAGACACACACATGCGTGTTTTCTGTGATCTAAATGCGCGCAAGAGCATCTGGCGAGACCATTTGCATGTATGTGTGCACACCCTCGCTCCCCCTCCCCCTCCCCTCCCTTTACTTAAATGTGACCACACAGAGGCTCGGCCTCTGGGACTAACATCTCTGCAGAACTGTGACAAACTCTCACCATCATCCTCATCAACACCTTAAAGATTTTGATTTTCTGTGGTTCAGCCTCCTGGTGTGTCCCCCACCGTTTCTGCCACCCTACCCCTGCTTTCCAGTCCATTCACACCGGGGGAAGGGGCTGAACTGAGGGTTAACTACTGTACGAGTCTATTCTGTGGAGTGTTAATGTGCCACAACCCACTGATGATTTGTCATAATTTTCAGATGCTGTGTTTCAAAGTTACATTTATATGCTTTGCGATATTTGACCTGCTTCTATTTTGTTAAATAAAGTGTGGTTGAGGTTGAGTAAAAACAACGTTGATGTTAAGCTAAGTTCTTTGGGTTCGGCTGGGCTTGGGGACCGGTCTGGTTTTTATTTTGATCACATGAACTTATGTGTGAGAACACAATACTTTTTTCATGGCAGATGGTTTGAACCCAAGACATGCACTTTGCTCCATCCCATCACAGAGCCTGGCTGTGAAGAGCACATGCTCCATCCATTTCTTTCCTCCACAGATGTTAGTTTGTCTCAGTGATGTTTTAGCAGTTGTTATCCAACTCCATTACCGAGCTTACGGATTTCCCATCCGGCGGTAATTTTAAAAGTTGCCCTTCTCTTGGTGCAGGCTTTAAAACAACTCTGTCTAAGGTTGCACTTTACTGGATTTTCATAGTGATAAAATCCACAAAAACAAAAAGATTAAATAACAGATATAAGGATCAATGCTGACAAATCAGAGTTTCTGCCCAATCGCGCTCATTAAATGACAACAATTCACCTCCTACCTTGCCCGCTTTATTAGAATGTGTTCCAGACCTCAAATGCATTACAAACAAACCAAAAAAATCTGATGCACATTAATGGATAGAATAGATTTTGATAGACAAAACATTTTGGGTTCCTGCTGTCTGCACTAAAATAAAGATCTAAGAGGGAATCAACACGCCAAATTCTTTCTGATTTGGAGTTATAATAGAGGGTTTCTTGCTTATTCTTGTGAAATTTCTGCCTCTTGCTGCAGTGCTGGCTGTTAATGTACAATACCAAATATTTCTGGGTGTATGCTAATATGGACTAACCCAATATTCCAAAATGGCTGAATCTTATTTGGTTTTCTGTGACACAGGAGAACAAATAACACAACTCTGTTTTCTGAAGGCTGAGGAATTACCCCGGCCGCTATTATTCACTGTAGGAAAACAGCAGACACATTATATCTAATGGAATTGCAAATGGGAGGCAGTGAGCAGCCGTGGCATACAGTATAGAGCTGGAAAACATGGCACGGCCTCTGAATACGTTGGAGGCGGTCAGGTGTTCCTGTGTCGCAGTCCTGTATGAGTCAGTGAACAACAGTGGGGCCCATTCATTAATGCGGCGGATAATAGCACAGCGGAGCAGAGCAGCCTCTTTTACACGCTGGGCACACAGAACCCCAACGCCGTTGTGGCCCAGCAGGCCTGCCGTAGTCTGTGTGATCCCCCCCCCCCCCCCCAGGAGCCGGTGGTTGATGCAACACTTCCACCAGGGATAACATCAGCGGCGCACCTCATAACACTCAGCTTCAGAGCACATCTCAGAGGCCTCGCTTTGATTTAAGTGTGGGCCATTAAATCCCAAAGGTCTATGCAGAAGGGTTTGTGCAGGCCGTTTGTTTTTGGTGGATGGGCCTGTTTTGCTTCAGGGTTACTTTGCAGGGAGAAGTGTGTACCTGTGGACGGTTTGGCTGCTAATTCATCAGCTGGAATCCCCATTATGGCTCCAACTCCCACTTCTAAATTGAAGTGCTTTATACTGCTTCAGGCACATCTGTTTTGTTTTTCGGTTTGGCAGGGAAAAAAAAGAAAAAGCCACTGTTCAGAGAGGGGAAAACGTCTCCCAATGCACATGCGGCTGTGTCATCCAGTGTCTCGGCTCATGTGAGCTACAGCATCTGCGCCTGGCTTTTTATCCCACTTCCACCGGTCACAGTCAGTGTGTCAGCTCCTGTTTTGTAAAAATCCCCCAAAGATTTTAAGCCAGGGTATTAGCTTTTGAAGTTCGCTTTGATCAAAGTCCCACATGTTGCAGTGAAGACTTGCCAGCAGTCACATACTTCCAGACTCTGCAGCCACTGCAGCCCCTGTTGCTGTGATTAGTCCATGGGGGGGGTGTGGTAGTGATTATCTGGCATTATCCCCAGGGATTTCTTGGTGTTG